TCTTACAGTTCCCCCAGCCCTGATGGGCACGGCGGGTGCTGGCCTGCCTCCCATGTGGCAGCCCAGCACCCGCAAGTCCTCCTGCTCCTCCTGCTCTCAGAGTGGCTCCTCTGATGGTGGGCCATCCAACGGCTGCAGCCATGAAAGGTATGACGCTCTGCTGCTGCTTGCTTTGAGAAATACAGGTAAAATAAAACAAGGGTTACATGTGAAAGCCCAGCTGGATGGCTGAACTAGAGCAATTATGGTGCAAGTGGTGTCTCCAGCCTCATACTCGGCTTGGTTGTCCAGGGACCATTTGCAGGGGCCAATGGGACATGTCTAGACTGAAATGAGGCTTGTCCCCTCATCTGGGATGTCTCAGCTGCTCTGTGGCCATGTCCTGGCAGCAGGTATTGCTGCTCCCAAGCTGAGCAGAGGTCCCGTGGTGCACCTCTGAAGGCAAAGCTGGAACAGTCAGAGCAAAGCAGGGGCTGAGGGAATGCATGGGAGCGTTTCCTCTCCTCACATCTGATATGTTTTTATTGGCAGAGCTCCGCTGAAGCTCCTGTGTGACAATATGAAGTACCAAATCCTCTCCCGGGCCTTCTATGGCTGTGAGTACTTGTCACATCCAGGATGCCTTGAGATGTGTGATGGGCAAAGGATAAGGTCCTGGGCTCCGGGCTAGGAGTGGTGCTGAGGCAGCAGGGCGGTGGCCAAGGGTACTGGGACCAGTCTGTTGCATGCAGGGCCCTATGTACACTTGCTCAGGATTGGGAGCAAACATCTGAACTCTGATCCTCGGACTTCAGCCCCAGTGAGCAGCAGTGCTGGTGGTACAAGACAATGAGATACTGACCTGTCCCAGTAGACTCCCTGCTTTGCTGCTTAGGCTAGATGTGGCTTCATAGGGTCTCCTTCAGGGACCAGATTCATCGGAGCTTTCTTCTGCACTTCATCCTCATGGCTCCCTGAGTTCCCTGGCTGAATGTTTGTTTCTGCCTGATGCAGGGCTGGCCTACTGCAGACACCTCTCCACGGTGCGAACCCACCTATCTGCACTGGTTAACCACAACATCGTGTCTCCTGATGTGCCCTGCAATGCCAGCTCGGGACTGACTGTGGACATATGGCAGAGATACCTGCAGGACAGCACGGTAGGGCCAACACTCTTGGGACATGCCAGTTGTGGTGGGCTTGGGATGTCCAGGGCAGCATCACTTAGGTGGTCGTAGCATGGTAAGGTAAAGCAAACTGAGAAGTTCCCCGAGAAGAGAAGTCACGCAGCCTGCCCCAGCCTGCACAGAGCCTAGGGCTCCTAATCCTTGACACGTGGAAGCCGGGGAACGAAGGCTGCTCTCCCTAGCATGCTTCTGTTCGGAGCCTGTCTGCAGCAGTGTCTGTCACTCTGAGTACTGTGGTCTTGAGGGGGGTCCCAGCATACTGTTATGGCAGGATAGCTGGAGAGCTGTGACCAGTGCCGCGGTCCTGATGTGCTGCCGGGACTCAGAGGCGCAGCAGTGACCTTGAGTGACTTTGGGCCACTTTCTGGCTGTGGTGAGCCAGTGTTTCCCAAAAAGTCCATCCGCAGGGGCCTCTGGCTGTGCTTAAGCCCAAGTGGAGATCTGAGAGAGCATCTGCAGTGAATGGGCTGCGAGTTTGCAGGTGGTCAGCGTCTGGGCAGCATTCTGGGTGCTGAAAGGCGGCATGGCTGGGCTGGGGTTGCCCTTGGCATCTGCCAGCTGATGGGCTGTGGTCCTGGCTGTGTCTGTGCACTGACTCAGAGCTCTTCCTACAGAGTTATGAGGACCAGGAGCTGCTGCGGCTGATCTACTATGGCGGGATCCAGCACGAGATCAGGAAGGCTGTCTGGCCCTTCCTTTTGGGCCATTATCAGTTTGGGATGACCGAGGCAGAAAGGAAAGAGGTTGGTATGGGTGTGCTGCCAGCTCAGCAGCCTGGTGTATTGCATTGGTGTGCCCTGGATATTTCACAGCTTGAAGCGTCCATATGCCAGAGTCCACCCTGTGAACCCACTGGGTGTTGTGTCCCCTTTGTACTGCAGCTGTAGATAGGAGGTGGGAGAAAGACTCAGATAAGCAAGAATTGATAGGATCAAGCTCGACGCTCCCCTGTGCAGCTGCTGGCTGCTGATGTTCAGTGCCCTGTGCACCTCTGGGAGGCAGGAAGGAGATGGATGGTCATTCTTCCGTCCTAATTTTTGCAAGGTTTTGTGGGTCAGGCTCTGGCTGTCACCGTGCCAGAGATGGGTGACTTCATGTCCCATCTAGCCATAGTTAATGCAAGCATGCACTTAGCTTGTCTGTGCAGGTCTGTTTGGGGGATGGAGGAGGCACTGGTTTCTGGGCTGTTCCAGGGGCATCTGTTCAAAGACCCTTTGTCTCTAAATGCTGCAGGCTGATGACCAGATCCGCACCTGCTACGAGCACACCATGGCAGAGTGGCTGGGCTGCGAGGCCATTGTCCGGCAGCGAGAGAAGGAGTCGCACGCAGCAGCTCTGGCCAAGTGCTCCTCTGGGGCCAGTCTGGATTCCCACATTCAGAGGATGATGCACAGGGACTCGACGATCAGCAATGAGGTGAGGGGGCTTGGGGAGGGCTGTGCCCACCCAGGCTCCGTGTTGGCCTGTGCTACAGGGAGGGACAGAGACACCTTGCTCACCCTCCTCCTCTGACCTCTGCCTGCCTCTGCGCCTCATTGCTTACTGTAATCTGTGCAAATTAGAGTTGGAGCTTTCTTACTTGTTTTCTTTCATCTGCTCTTCCAGAGTGTTTAGCAGTAGGAGTGGGCATCTCCCGCAGTATGACCCCAGTTTCCACACTGTGTGGTACTGCACTGACCAAGAGGTTTTGGTCTGCAGCCTGAGTGACGTATTGGAGTTCTAACAAATTTGCTTTGGTTCTTGCAGCCGCAGTATCCACAGCAGCACTGAACAGCTCTGCATCCGTGACCCTGGGTGGGGGTGCTGTCACAGAGCACCCGGGGGCAGCAGGGAGAGGGCAGGGGGTCCTGGCAGAGGGCAGCAGGTCAGCCAGCCCAGAACTCGTTTGTGGAACCGCGTGTCCTAACCCAAGACACTCTGACCAGTCCTGTGAAATGTTCCTTGTGGGTGTTTCTGGAGAACATGAGATATCCGTTATGCAGTTTGCACTCCTGGTGCACATCAGGATTAGCTCCATGGAAGTCAGTGTTGAAGTAGGGGGAGGGAGGAAGGCCATGTTTGCGGCACTGAGGAGCTGTGAAACAGGTCAGTGGGCTTATTGACTCCCTCCTTCCATCAGCTGCTCAGCACAGAGGAAGCCTAGGCCGCTGCCTGTGGGCAGGAGGAGCGGGGTGACTCTAGGACTGGCTGTGAAGGAGCCTGCAGGGCTCGAGGCAGCTTTGGTACACTGTGCCATCGTGGGACAGAGCTGGGCCCCAGCACCCAGCTCCATGGGACTGGCTTATAGCAGTGCAGTGAGGAGTTAGATCCACAGCCCAAACCAAAGGGTGTGGAGGGAAAAGCCTGTTAAAGGAAAGGCAGTCCTGGGAACAGAGTCCCATGGAGTGTTTCCATGTGGGGTTTTGTCCTTGGAGGAGAACAGCCCGGCATGGCAGAGCAAGTGGTGCTGGGTTATCTGACCTCGTGCTGCTGCACCGGAGGCAAATGGAGGCCAAGCCGAAAAGGGCCCGGTAGGTGCAGCACTGGAGATTTCATCTGGTTTCCTCTGGGGAGTTTGTGTGGATGCTTTTGGAAAGAGATGAGCTCAGCCCCAACCATGCAGGCTATGTGTGTGTGTGTACAGGGAGGGAGAGATGCAGGGAAGGCAAGTCCAAACCAGGGTCTGTGTGCGAAAGCTGGATGACACAGCTCTCGCTGGGGGTGAGCAGAGGTAGGGCTGCACGGCTGGCATTGCTGAAGCCCCTTGAATCATTCCCATCCCCACAGCATCTCCACTGTGGTTCTTGTTTTGCATTCACGTCTGCCTGTTCTGGGAACATGCACTGGGAGGGGAGCTGGCAGAGTTAATACATGCAAAGGTTCACCCTTTTCCCAGCTTAACCTGAAATTTCCTGTTACAAAATGCTTCCATGGTAATGGAGGAAAACTGTCGCCCTTCCTCTCTCCATCAGAGCCCTGCCCAGCAAGCACCCACAATACTGGGGTGGAGACAACTCCTGCTGCTGTTCTGAAAGTGCCTGTTTTCTGAAAACCCTATTGTTTGTGTGTGATGTCATTGCTCTATACATCCCGACTTGCGTGCAGCGTGAGCAGCCGCAGGCTCCTGCGCTACGATAAGCCTGGCACAGAGGTGGCTCAGATAACAGGGAGGACTCGCTCTTTAGCGAAGACTCGTTGCTCAGAGGGAATCCACGAGGCAGAGCACTGAACTGGTCGCTGCAAAGCCCGATGCTTCCCTCTGCGCTTCAGCTGGAAGCCAGAAAAGGGTGCTGTTGACTTTTAGAGGGGCTGCCTCAACTGAGTCTGGCTTGAAACATCAGTATTTGTCCTTTAAGAAAAGGAAAAAACATTAATATGCTTGGAGGGATTGTTTTATAGCCTGTGACTTCATCGTTTATGTAAACTAAGATGGGGTGAGCCTCATTGCTGCCAAATTAGGACAGAGTTTTGTAGAAATTTGCACTCCAGGGAGACAGCGTGACCTCTCTGAAGGCCAGAAGAAAGCAGTTCCTTTCAGACCCAAACATACAGCGCTTGAACAACTGGATTAGCCTGGGACTTTGTTTTTTGTCATCTTCTCCAACAGTAAATGTCAGTGGCAGGCTGAGGCAGGGTGCTGCACTGTGACAAATCTGCACGGCAGAGTTGATGTGACATGAACGTCTTTCATGGGTCAAATATGATAATTCATTGGATGCATTTTCTGCTTGTTCTTTACATGCAGATGTACCCACCTCTGATAGCGTGGCTTGAGCCTCCCCCTGCTCCAGACACCCTGCTCTTTGCCTTTTCACTGGCCTTTTCCCTCTCTCTTGCAGTCTTCGCAAAGCTGCAGCTCTGGCCGACAGAATCACGCCCGGCTGCAGAGCGACTCCAGCTCCAGCACGCAGGTGAGTGGCAGCGCTTTGTCCCCTCTTGCTTGTTCAGACACCAGCCACCCAACAGCATACGTCTCTCTGCCCTGGCTTGGGTTGATCGCTAGTCAATAACCATAATGATTTCTGGCAAACAGAAGTGGTAGTTGGAGGAGGTAAATGACTCACAAACCTGCCTCCGGACCCACTATGGTCAGAACTGCGCACTGCTTGGCGGTGTTTAATATTCACCAGCCTGCCGTGCCCAGGCTTGAAGGACCAACCCCCGTGTGGCCTTCACACTTGAGGGCCCTTGGCCGCTCCGTATGTTAGTAACCATGTGTTTAACCAACCTGTTTAAATGACATTCTGCCCAATATATTACGCTGAGTAAAGGACTACTGCCTGTAGTCCTTTGGAGCAGCGACTGTGGGCTCCGAGTTGTGCAAATGATCAAGCACTGACCTGCCAAATCCAGGCAGGGGAACCTAAAGGCTGAGGACTGTGCCCGGAAATTCCTCCAAGAGTCCGGTTAAAGTAGGACAGGGAGCTAGATGCTCAGGCTGAAGTTGTCTCTCGCTATAGCGAAGATGTGGAGCCACAGCCAGGCACAGCACTAGTAAGCTAAAATGCCCTCAAGTCCTCCGAGCTTTCTTCCACTGGTTGCTTGTACGAGCCCTGCACATACAGAGCAGATCCTCCTCCCTCCCCACTGTTGGGAACATGGGCATTATGTCCCCAAGAGCTGCATTCAGTAGTTTAACTCTGCAGCTCTTGGGGACATAATGCCTATGTTCCCAACAGTTTGCTGAATGCAGGGGGTTTGCTCGCTCTCATGTGGCTCTCTGCTCGTGCTTTGCAGGTGTTTGAATCTGTTGATGAAGTGGAACAGACTGAAGCAGATGCTCACCTGGAAGATGGCAAACAAAGCAAGATCCCCAACGGGACGGTTCCCAACGGCATGTGTTCCCCTGATTCTGGCCACCCCTCTTCCCAGAACTTCTCCATCGCATCAGGATTCTCGGAGCGCAGCTTCAGCAATGAGGAAAGTGCCCTGGAAACCAACAAATCCTCAGCCAGCTCTCAGGTAAAGGCCGGTGGGTCCGACGTGCCAGGCCCACAGGACTCAGATGGTGCCCGGCAGCAGGAGAAGCTGCAGGGCCAAGACAGCCTGGAAGGTGACTTTCCCACTGGTGGAAGCGTGGACTTTGTTTCCATGGATGAGAGCTCAGCAGGGGTCCTGCGTGATCGTGACGCTGTAGCCCTGACTGTGGTAGAGAGCTGGGCAGACAGCGAAGCTGAAAAGCAAAGCTTGGTGGAGAGTGAAGATAACCTCTCTGAGGAGCCGGAGATGGAGAGTTTGTACCCGCAGCTGGATTCTCTGGCTGTAGGTGATCTGGCCAACAGTGAAACGTCTGCTGTCTCCTCGACAGGTGTCACCTACTCTGTAAGTATGGACTTGTTCACTGAGTGGGTTTCTTCTTGGGTGTCCCACTATTTACCTGCATTTGCCCTGTGCTAATCCTGCGGTTGTGTGTACAGGGGCGCTCCACCTTCCACCCAAACTCTGCCCTGTCGCTCCTTTGCCCTTGCAACTTTCTTTTTGGTTTTTATTTGAAAACAAATCAACTTTGCTTTTGTTTTGGGCAGCCAGAGCTACTGGACATGTACACAGTGAACCTGCACCGCATTGAGAAGGATGTGCAGCGGTGCGACCGCAACTACTGGTACTTCACCCCTGCCAACCTGGAGAAACTCCGCAACATCATGTGCAGGTGGGAGCTGCGGGGGTCAGGGTGGGGGCCTGCCAGCCCTCCTGCGACGGTGGCTGGTTTCCCTGAATTCACCTTGAGGCTGGAGCCTCAAACTTTGTTCTGGTGACTGAGTTTTGCCTCCTTGACTTCCTCCCTCAAATCCCCTCATCATCCTAGAACTGGGGCCACAGCTCCAAGAACCTCACGGTTACCAGACCGAGGAGTCCAGCCGTCCTGCCTTGTGCTGCTCTGCCCCGTGACTGCCGCGTGTCTGGGTTGTTGGCCAAAGCAGAGGGCTCCCTGGGGCTGCCCATGCATGCTGCCTCGTGCTGTCAACCCAGTGCAGCCCACCTGCTCTCTGGAATATGCCTGGAAAATGTTTTAATGAGGCTCAGCCCGCAGAGCTGTGGTGCTAATGAGGAGTGCCTGAAGTGACCGAGTGGTTAGTGCCTACCCAAGAACCCAGGAGACAGCAATACCTGGGTGCGTTTCTGATTCTCTTTGCTTAGTCCCTGTGACTAAGAGGTTGCTGTGTGACATTCACCGACTCAGACCAGCTCCAGCTCAGCAGCTGCAGCTTCTTCAGGGGCAGCAAAGGCTAAAATATTATTACTCATCTTGCAAATATAAGGAGAAGCTGCTATGTCATTAGAGCTGTCACTTTATCTGACAGCCAGAGTTGGAGATCTCTGCTGAGATTAGACCTACAATACAGCAGATTTTGGAAAACTAATGGGCAGGATGGAAAAGATTGTTTCCTTGTGCCAGCAGTGGATCCGAGTCCTTTCTGAACACATTTTGACTTGCTACCAAATATGGGAAGATATCTCTGCAGGGCTGGTTGCTTCCTGGGACACTGGGTCCAGGGAGGCGAAGCAGGCAATGTCATGCAGAGAGAGCCAAGAGGATGAATCGAGGGGGAAGGGAGAGAACGAGAGATAAATTAACAAACTCTATCAGGCTCTGCCCTTTGACCAACCACCCCACCTTGCTGTGCTTTTTGATTTCACTTTTCCCTGCACTGATTTCCATGCAATGGCTGTGGCACAGCCCCGGATCAACACCCTGCAATGGCCGTGACCATTGCAGGGTGTTGATCCGGGGCTGTGCCACGCATGGCTTAACTGAAAGTCAACACGG